CCCCAAAACCCCAAAACCCCAAAACCCCAAAACCCCAGCTATTTAGAGATATATTGAGAGATTATTCAACTTTCATCAAAGTATTGCCCAATTTAACAGTTTGACCCTCTTCGACACTGAATTTACTTCCCTTGGGAGCTTCAAAGACCAACATGATGCTGGAACCCATGTTGAAGTATCCGATCTCTTGACCCTTTTTAAGCATAATTCCCTTGTTGGTTCTTGAAAACGCCTGGATATACTCACCTGGCTTCTCTAACTTCTCACTCAAATATTTTTGGTATTCATCAAACTGCTCCTGAGCCTCTTCAGGTTGGAAAGAGTTGATAATGTTGTATTTGAGGTCCATCTCTTGGGATTCGTTGTACACAAACTTTGTCTGCCCAGCGTTGGTGTCAATCATATCTTTAACATCGAACATCTCTCATTCAGGGAGAATGTTTACGACGTCTTCTTCATTTTTACCTAAGGAATTCTTCTTGATGATTACATTGTTTTTGAAAATTCCATCGAAGTCGGTCATTTCAATAAAGTTTTCATCTTGACACTTATAGTCTGTGATACTTTTGTTTGTCTTGAGAGCTTTGTCGAAGTTTACGACAATCGATCCAACGTTGGTAGCTCCAATGAAGGATGTAGTGAAGAAACCATGTATCCAATCTCCAAGAAGGATAACACGCTCATTGGCATTGAATACTTCAGGCTTCTTTTTGACGAACGAAGGCATAACTGGATACAAAGTTCCTGGAATATGTCTTCTGTAGCTAGTGGTGAAGGAAGTGGGAGAGTGGTATCTATGGTAATCTGAAGGGGATAGGTATAGAAGAATGTATTTCATTTCATTCCCTCTTTTCTTTATTTTATCTAAAATATCCAAGAAATCTTTTCTCTCAAATTTATTCTGACCAAACAAAAACTCTGATACTTTATAAGTATGTCCTTTCACAATTACAAGAGTGTTTTCTTCACAAGTTCCAAGATTGAAGACAGTTCCATCACAAGGTGAGCATATTGAACTAGGGTTGTTTGGCTCGTCAATTGTTCTGACTCCTTCTTTAAGTTTTCTGATGAAAAACTGGCTAATAGACTTATACTCCTTTAAGTCTTCTATCAAGATTTCATCTGTGTTGATTTTGTATACAGAGATATACATCTTCAATATCGGAAGAAGCACAAATTGAGGAAGATTGAGAGATGCGAACCACCCAGTAAATCTTGAAACTAATCTCCAGGGGTCTGGGCGTTTCATATAAAAGATAGGAGCAACAGTCAAGATCGCTATAAAATAGATTAATTTCATTTGCAATAATTTAGGAACTTACTTCCAACTATGAATAACCTTTTGTTTCTTTGATAACTGAATAAGTTATTTCTAGTCTAAAAATCAGCTGAATTACTATACCTCGTGTTTCAACTGAACTTTCTTAATAGGATCTACACAATAAGTCTTCCAAAATACCTTTGAAAATATTATGTCCTCTGGAAATCTTCTTGTAAAGCCCTTTCATGATTAAAATTAATTTATAATTTCTATTTGAATGTTATTAATTGGGGTTTTGGGGTTTTGGGGTTTTGGGGTTTTGGGG